TCCCCCCCCCCCCCCCCCAATAAACCCCCCCCCCCCCCCCCCCCCCCCCGATCGGATATCTTGTTCATGTATGTGCATATGTGTCGATCTTGAGTCAATATGCTGTGAACGCCTCCCCGCCAGCCACTCCTCGACCTTCTGCTCCCACGTTGCTGCTGCTCCCATGTTATTGTTGTCGGTGGTGCTGGTGGTGCTGGTGCTGGTGCTGGTGCTGGTGCTCCTTGCTACTGCTTCCTGCTGCTGTTACTGCGGCTTGCTGCTGCTGCTGCTGCTGCTGCTGCTGCTGTGGTGCTGTGGCGGAACAGGTGATACCGTTCCACTCGGACTTGCCGAAGGAGGAAGTGATGTCGGCGTTCGGGCCGGTCGGGGAAGGGGTCGTGAAGGTGGTGGTGGCGACGAACAGCGCGGAGAGCTCCATCACCCTCCCGGACGTGGACAACGTCATCTGCCTGGGCTCCTGCAAGGAGGTACAATACGCCTCGGCCTCTCTTGTGTGTGTGAGGTACACGAGGATTGCTATCCCGTTCTTCGTAATATGACGTTGTATCTACCAGGTACTCTGCAACGAGGTAGCCCGGTCTGTCTGCGTTTCTTCTTAGTGGGAGGTAGTTGTCTTGTCGTTTTCCAGGAGAGTCCATGGCGTGGACGGGGCCGCACAGGGGGGAGGAAGGCCGCACGGGAACTTTTTCCAAGACCACGAGTGGCGGCAGGGAAAACCCGGGCGTAGGAATTGTTTGACTTTGCTTCACAGCAGTACCGTCAAGTTTGATGCGCGGGAGCTACAAAAGTTTTGGTGTGTTGGCAAGCCTTTTTTTCAAGCTTCCCGACCCCCCCCCCCCTTGTTTTTGCGCCCTGGCACCACGCCGCTGCTGCAACAACACCAACTCCGCACGGAATACAGATGGTATTCGACCCGCAAACGAACCGGAAGACGTTGACGCCAGTGTGGATATCCAGGGCCTCGGCGGTGCAACGGGCCGGCAGGTATAATACCCCCACAAGTATGATCCTACGGGGTCTCCGCTCTACTTTATTTTTTTTTGCGTCACTATACTTCGGTATTGCTGCCGGGTAGGAGCTCCAATCTGTGGTCACACCAGTGGGGAAGAAGAATCGGAAGTAAGTGCAGAAGAAATGAAATGTATTAACTCCCGAGAAGTGTGCCCCCCACCCGGCTGTGCACCCAGGTAACATTGTTATACATGCCGATTGGCGTATGGTCTGACGTCCAGAGTAGATGGGTTTTTCCTTCGTCTTGCACCAGGTTGTGGATGGGATGGGCGAAAAAACTCGTTTATTTGTCCGCGAGGATCGAATGAATGAGCGCCTGTCGGTGACGGTAGGTTGGTATATTTCGACGCGAGAGTTTTCGACCCGAGCGTCTCTCTCTCTGGTTGGCTGGCTGGCTGCCCCCGCCTCCCCCGCCAGGCTCTCTCTCTGTGCCTTTTTGGCACTCTGCGTGCCCTTTTTTTCTTTCCGGTGTCTTTCTTTCGGTCTCTCTTTTCTCCCTCCCTCCTACCAACGTCTGCTCAGCCCCCACGTGCGCCCCCCGGCTGCCCATCCCGGCACACCGCTACAAGGCGGCCCACCGCGCAGCATGCAGCTTGCCCCGAAGCTCCGGTCGACTTTGTGTGCCCTGTTCTCTACTCGCCCCTGTTTTCCTGTAGGATGGACACACGACACATGTTCTTCCCAACAGGGTCGACACACGGAAAACATTGAATGAAAAGGGGTCGACATATGACACCAAAACTTGCGAACGAAGAAGGATCGACGCACGAAAAAAAAAAAATGAGTGAATGAAGAAGGATCGACACACACAAAGAAGAGGGGTCGACCCAAACACCAAACTTAGTGAATGAAAATAAATGAAGGACGCTCCAAGCACACCAGCTCACACGTTGCTTTTGTCCCCCGCTCCCACCACGTTCACGCCCGCGTTGTCGTTGCACATTCATCTCCGTAGAACCGGGCGCGTTCGGCCGGGCACCGTGTACAAGCTCTACTCCAGGGCGATGGGGACGGAGATCATGTCCGAGCACGGCATGTCGGAGATCCTCAGGCTTCCACTAGACGCCCTCATCCTGGACCTGAAGAACATGATGCCCGGCAGTCCAGTGATCCCAATATTGAAGGTGGGGGCATGGGGGGCTCCGCAGAAGAAGTCGACCTTAAGAACATGGCGCCCGACAGTCCCGTGATGCCAATATTGAAGAGTAGCAAGGCTCCGCAGGAAGGATCAGGGGCGCTTTCCTAGCGACGCTATGGACACACGTGACTGTGTCACACGATTTTCATTTGTTGCGAGACGCGTACGTGTTGCATTCGAACAACGAGGGTGATTGATGCGCTGGACTACAGCAGTATGACAATTCCCTGGGAGCTGGTGCTGGAGAGGTTGATTTGAACGAAGCGCTATTGAAACGGCTGGTGCCGGTTGTTCTTTTTCCTTCCTCGTCTACGAGTATGACACATGAAGGTCGGGACGAGCGACGCTGGGGCGGGACGAGCGACGCGGCTCACCTTATTCTTTTTGTTTCGTGTGTCAGAAAAGGGTGCCTCTGGGATACTTCTACCAAGCGTAGTGAAAAGCGGGGAGCGCAAACAAACAACAGACACGCGCTGTAGAGTTGATGCAGAATCGAAGGGCGACCCCCTCATTGTTAGCCTTCCGGCCCGCCTTTGGGTCGACCCCTGCCCCACTCAGCGTTACGCCTCGGTATCGCGACATGCGGGCCCGCCTGCCTGCCCGTCCGCCTGCCCGCCTGCCCGCCTGCCCGCCTGCCTGCCTGCCTGCCCGCCTGCTCGCCCGCCTGCTCGCCCGCCTGCTTGCCTGCCTGCCTGCCTGCCTGCCTGCCTGCCTGCCTGCCTGCCTGCCTGCCTGCCTGCCCGCGTGCCTGCGTGCCTGCCTGCTGCCTACCTTACCTTGTGCTAACCCCCCGGCTCAAAATGCTGTTTGCTTTGGCCTTCCAGAGCACCGTGGAGCCGCCAGACCTTCAGTCCGTCCATCGCAGCCTGGAGTCCCTGCACGCGATGGGGTTCACGACGTCGCCGGACGATGACGGAGTTCTGACGGACACAGGGCGTTTCGCGTCGGGGTTGGGGGTTGACCTGGAGCTGGGCCGCATGGTGAGAGAGATAGATTGGGAGGAAAGGGAGAGGGAGAGGGAGGAAAGGGGGAGGGGAGGGGAGAGGGAGAGGAAGAGAAGAGACATTTCGGGAGAGAGAGACAGACAGACAAAGGAAGACACGGAGAGAGAGAGGCAGACAGAGACAGAGAGAAAGAGTCAGGGAGAAAGGGAGGGGGGGGGGCGTGGAGGGAGGCTGGCATGGCGAAAGAGGAGAGGAGGAGATTTTTCTTTTCTCGTTGGGCTTAGTGGGCCAGCTGAGACGAGGCGTGGTGGACTTCAAGGTGGGAACACTGTTGCGATCCACGAGATACTGCATACGCATTGCGCGCTGCGAAGCCCAACTTTTCCATCCGCGTCATCCCGCTTTAAGATGGAAATGTTTTTTTTTGTTGCCAACGAAATCGACCCTTGCGCCGCCTAAATGACGATACTGCCGTGGAAAAAAGGTGGCGCTTGGCGGGCGGCTGGGCGTTCTTAGCGAGGCGGTGGCGATGGCGGTCGTGCTCTCCCACCCGCCGCCCTTCATGAGGGCCTCCCACATGGTCACCGGGGACCCCGACGAGGCCAATGCTATCGTGGGACGATCTTTCGTGAGTAGCGCTATCGTCGTCGTCGTTTTCGATTTCGCCACCTGCTTTCTCGTTTCAGGCGCTCGCCTCCTCTTATCGGCTGCCTGCCTCATCGGTTCGTCCAAAGCATGCGCCATGGCCCCTTGCTATGGTTGTGTAGCCTCCGTCGAAAATATCGCCGTTGTCGTTTTTTTAAGATACATATTTTTTTCTGTGTTTTTTATAGTCTTTTTTTTTTTTGCTTTATGTGTCAATACAGCTGGCACAGCAGTCTGTGTTCGACCGCGGCCTCTACTCCGACATGCTCGTACACCACCGTTGTCGTGTACTTTGTATCAACTATATGGTAGCATTTTAACGGTTTACCCTCCTTCTGTTGTGTTTATTCGCTGTACTGTATGTGTCAATACAGCTGGCACAGCAATTTGTGTTAGACCGCGGCCTAAACTCTGACACGCTTGTACACCGCCGTTGTCATGTATCAATTATATGGTAGCATTTGAACGGTGTACCCTCCCTCTGTTGTGTTTGTTCGCTGTACTGTATGTGTCGATACAGCTGGCACACCATCAGTCTGTGTTCGACCGCGGCCTAAACTCCGGCACGCTTGTACAACGCCGTTGTCATGCTTCAATTATATGGTAGCATTTTAAACGGTGTACCCTCCTTCTGCTGTGTTTGTTCGCTGTATGTACGTCATACAGCTTGCGCAGTCTGTGTTCGACCGCGGCCTCTACTCCGACACGCTCGCCTCGCTGCGGGTGCTCCGCGAGTACCTCGTCCGGGCCGTCGGGGGAAACACCCCTCAGAAATCCTTCTGCAGGCTGTTCTCGCTCAGCTACCCAAAGATGGAGCAGCTCGTGTCCACCCTCTACGCCATACACAGGTATGGAGTATGTACATGGCGTGGTGTATTTTTGGCACTTTCGTGTAGCTCCGCGTGATCTTGTGTGCTGGAGCAGTTCGTGTGGTGCGTTGTTGGTTATTGTTTGTGTGTTTGGAGAAAGTCGGTGGCGGCTGATGATGACGTTGTAAAACAGCTCCGGAACAAGCCAGAAGTGCCTTGTGTGTTGTGGGGAGAAGCTGCCTGGCTGCTGGTGTCTTTCCACACTGTACGCCAGCAGTAGCGATCTCGTGCAACAGAGCGGAACGAAGGATTGAGCCTACTTGAGCCGCACCCCCGAGGTCGAGGTGAACGGTCTACCGACTACGGCATGCGTACACCCCCCCCCTCCCTCTCGTGGCGCACGCAGCCGGGCCGCCGAACTTGCGGGCGAGCCGATCCCGATGGTGCCACGCGATCCTGCTAGCGACCCGGACCTGGCCAACACTTTGAGGCTGCTCCTCGCCTGGACGTTCCCCCGAAACGTAAGTTCTTTGTTTGTTATTGTTGTTGCCGTCGCCGTTGTCGAAAGTGTTGCTATGCTGTGGTTGTTGTCCTCTCTGTCAATATGGCTGTGTTGATTTGCTCAGAGGTCTTTGCTGACTTGCTCGATCGATCAACGTGACTGCCCCTTGATTTGACGCGCCGGATTTTCTGCTTGTCTTCGCCACAGCAACTTTTTTTTGAAAGCAGCTCCAACATCTCCCGTCGTTTCTCCTGCTGCACAAGACGCCTTCAGCATCGTCAAGTTGTCGCCGTTGCCGTCAATGGCGATTGTTGTTTTGCCGTTTTTTTCGCGGTATTTTCTGTTTTGCTCGTTTGCTCTTTTGCTCTTTTGGAGCTTCCTTTTTTTTTTTTTTTTGCTGGGTGTCGGTTGGGCTGCTTAGGGACAAGATGTATGGCCTCATAACAATATCATGCCCTACAACGGGCTCTGAAAGCACAAACGCGCGCGGGTTTTCTTCTACCGCGCTGCGATGTATCCAACTACCTATCCCTTCACCACAACGATCTGTTCCACTCTTGTTACGTTCAACTTCGTTCAAGTGCATGCGTTTCCATGTGCTGCTTGTGAGCTCTATGTAGCTTTCTGATTTGTTTTTTTTCGTCCGGTGTAATTCTGCGTGCCTGATGTACCTGCTGCCTACGTGCCACCTTTTTTGTACCCTCCCTATGTCGGGCGCGCGTTGGTCGAGAAGCTGATCAAGATGAGGGTGGACAGCAAGCAGCACGCCGCCATGATGGAGCAGAAAAAGAGGGGCACAGCCGTGCAGGTGGTCCTGCAGGGGCACGCCGT